GTATGAAAAAAAATAATATGTAGAAAATTAATAACTAATAGTTATCCAACAACCTTGTTTTACTAATAGCCAGCTTATTAACAATCACTTTACAAAATAAATATTTGCCTGAAATAAAAGCAAACATTCGAGATTTATTTTAGTTGAATGATAAAATAAGCTATGGTTTATTTCATAGTGAATTTTTTCAATTAAATTAGGTGCAACAAAATTGCTGAGAATGGAATCAACGTTTCGGTACATAGTATCACATATGTTTGGTGGTTTAATGTTCAGGTTTGATGATTTCCAACTAATAAAGTCATAATAATAGTCTTGACTAGCAATTAAAGAATCAAGTGAGTTGAACAATTCATACAGAGTTGTATGCCCACGGCGTATAATAGCTTTGATATGTGAATTAATCGACTCTACACAACTAGTTGCTTGTGCTCCAGCAGTAAAGTGACGAAAGGTATATGCTCTAGCCCAAGATTGTTTATCGAAATATAAAGCCCTATTAAGATATCGAGCTGCTTTTGGAAAACGTTCTTGCAAGGATTTAAAACGATTCTCAAACATTTGTGGATCCAACGTATTGCGAGTTTTGTAGAAATCCTTGATGAATAAATCCCAATTAGTATCTAATTTACTTTTAAGATTTTTTTGTAAATTTTGGCTGATATGCCAAACACAATGTAGATGCTAAGTTGAAGGTAAAACAGTTGAAATGGCAAGGGCCATAGCAGGGTTGGCATCTGTCATGATAGTCTTTGGATAAAGCCCATCGGTTGCTCTTATTAAGGCATCAAGTAACCAGGAATATGAATCAGTTGTTTCATTGTCTAGTATCGCCTGTGCAACTAGACAAGACCGGTAGGTATTATCTATAGCAATAAAAAGCGACAATGGCATATTATAGATATTTGTTTTTGCTGTGTCATCGTGAAGAATAATATCACTATACTGCATCCAGAGGTCGAGTTGGTTAGTTGATATCCAAAAAAGATGTGTCAACGCATTAGTACTCAGATCAAAACGCCATTCTATTACCCATCTTGAATCCTCCTCTTTTTTTTTTAAATAGTTTGGATAATAATTGCGAAGCATCATAGTCACCATGTAAATCCTTTTTTTTGACTTTTGTAATTGCATTATATAAATTACCACGATGAATAGGAACTTTGTATTTTTCTAAAAGAAGTCGATACTGAGAACTTGCATTGATCTTTCCAGTTAGTGTATAAAATTCAATATCTTTTACCATGTCATTAGTAAGCTTTCAATTTTTGGAATAAATTGTATAGTGGTCAGATCAATAGTATGATTATGAATACTAATAAAGGTGGATATATGATACCTATTTAAATGCTTACTCTAGTAAATGTTAACCTTCCAATTACAGCCAGTACGACATGAACCAGATTCATTTGTGTTATATGATGTATTTGTAGTGGATGGTTTTCCAGCATGATGGCATAAAATGGATTTTGAAATTTCCTGGCCATTCGCATCCTTTTCAACATGTTTTTTACGAATTCCAAATCTATTTGAATGGGCAAAAGATACAACTGCAATATGCGCTTCTTCAACCGTTTGAAAAACTTGCCCTTGTAAAATATATACTGTAAAACCTATCTTCATTTAACTCTTAAAACAACAAAAAATTGCAGCCGCATACCTTTATAAAGTTTTAATTGTTTTTCAAACTCACTGCCCGATTGTTCATCTGACACATCACCCGATTTTTCGTCTGACTCATTATCCGATTTTTCATCTGACTCATTACCCAATTGTTCATCAGATTCAACATCTACGTGTTTGATTTCAAAATTTGAAGTCATCAAACTTGTTTGCAAAGTAGATTCTTTGAACTGAGAAGTTAATGAAGCTATTGCAGTTGAATATCTTTGGATAAAGGATTCATATTTTGTGGCTCCATTTTGAAACTATTTAAAAGCTAAAGGCTTTAATATGGTATAGTGAATATGATGACAAAGACGAACGAAGCTGATAATGCTAAGTTTCCAAATAAAATACTGTGCCTACCTTATTTTTTATAAGAAAGGCTATAGGCAATATAAATAGAAGTGAACGACCTAGTTCAACAATTATAAAGTTATTGTTAGTTAAGAGTAAATTGAATACGCTTATAGTCACCTAATATCTACTCGTCCGGCAAATTTAGAGCTGCACTCATTTAAAATTTTATTGGTTTACTTTGTTCACTGCTAACCCAAATACGGTCTCTTTCTTCTACTACAAAAAAAAAACACAAAATCCGTTTTACACTTTTATAAACAAGCTCTATACACAATTTATTGCGCTAGAGAAAGAGATGAGTACTTTGATCACGCCTCCTTATTTATTAAATTCACCTACTAATTACATCATGCATATTCTATTTGAGTTAAACAATGAAATGATTGCCTTTTTTATGCTTTAACGAATCAAATTTGATGCTGCAAATCTGGGACCCACGTGATCCAATCTGAGCATGCAGTAACTAATGTTTGTTGCACATGAAAATATTACACAAAGTTTGTATTTTGTTACACCAATTATTATCTATACCCCTATACCCTGCACACGGTGCATCCTGTATCAAATAATTTTAACCTATTTATATATATATTAGTTACCTTATACTATTTGATCTGATTATATATATATATAATTTAATACTAAAATTTATACTGCATATAGATTTGATTAGGTTTGATTAAATTCGAGTAGGTAATTAATTCAGAGCTATCACTATATCATATATATAATTGATTAATATGTTTATAAAATCTTAATGCCCAAAACTATATATCAATATACATTTCAAGACTA